GCTGGTCCCCTACCCAGAGGAACGGGGTGCTCGGTGAGAGCACGGGGCGGGAGGGGCTCGCGCCCAGTAAATGGCCGAGGGGCGGCAGGCACCCTGGCACTGAGCACGTGGAGCCCGCACTCCACCCCGAAGTGCCTGGACCAGACGGGGCTCTGCACGACGCCATGCCGAGCACAGGGTCAGAGACCCACCAGACTGGGGCCTGGGCAGCGGGCAGATTCCACTGCCCAAAATGGGTATGGCTTCCGATGTTTCTACACAAGTTACCACTTTATTGTTTCATTTAATTATTTTCTATTATAGTACGAGGGAGCTGGAAACAAGTAAGTTTGTAAACTGCTTAGAGCTCCTGGAAGAGTAAGTGGGAAGCGCATGATGCTAATAAACACGGTCCCCAGAGCCGCAGTTTAAAGGCAGCACCTGACCTCAGGGCAACAAGCACCCGCGGACCCCATGGCTCGCTGTGCAGCGACCCCTGGGGGTAGGCAGGAGAACAGGGAGGACGGTCACTTGAGCAAGCCAGTGAAGAACGGGAGCGGGGAAAGAAGGCGATCTCGGTGCCACACATGGCGGCAGAGCAAGGGGAGTGGGTCCTGGAGCTCTCTGTCCGACTCCTGCAGACACTGGGAACCATCGCTTACTGAAAATGACAAAGCATCAGCCCAAAACCAACTTACTCTGGGCTGTGAAGGGGGGGAGAAAAAACGTCTCTCTTGATTTGGGGTATCACCCATCAAGTCTGAAAACAGAAAACAGACACCCCTCCAGGCCCTACAGCAGATCAAGTGGATACACCGCTCACAACCTTCTAGAATTAGGCAGGCGGCTGCAGGCTGCATCTTCAGTGGCACCTTCGGAATGTTCCCGAAATGGTCCTCTGAGGGAGATGACCTGGGAAGGACCGAGGTGGAGACACGCCATTGGGGCTGTGACCCCAGGGCATGCAGCCCACCACCACGTGGCGGCCCCATGCCGGCCTGAGGCTGAGGAGACCAGGCCGCAGAAGGCAGCAGCAGGCAGAGAGACACCATCTCCTACACGGGCCCTACACCACACCTCCCCCGGGCTCCGGGCGTACACTGAGCCTAGCCTTCAGGAGTCTGGAGCTTGGAGGCCGGAACGGGTGGGACAGAGGCCGAGCCCGGCAGTGCCCACCGCGGGGCTGCGGCCGTGGCTGGGGCTCCAGTAGCCCACAAAGGCTACTCCCCCCAAGGGGACACACTGCGTGGTGACGGCCACAAATGCTCCTAGTCACTGGCTCAACGCCGAGCACGCTGAGGGGAAGGCCAGCTCGGGGGCGCGCAGCGCCCACACACGATGCTGTGGCAGCAACCACGGGCCTCGTGGTACGTGAGGACAAAGGACAGCCTGGCGAGCCTCGGTTCTACACCCGCATGAACATTCAGAGGGACGCGCTTCGTCTGGTCTCAGACATCAAACGGCTGAGTAATGGCACAATAATGAGAATGTCATTTGAAGCTTTTCACGATAATTTAAAAATCATTCTCAAGTTTCCAATAATGCAGGAAAGCCTGTGCTGTTAGGTCAAGGACAACATTTGTTCGCATTACTTAAAGGTCATTAAAATACATCCTTAATCATAACATGTGGTTCATTACAGAGAAAACTGCCTGCCGTTCAATAAAACTAATTAAATGTAAATGGTATTGTTTACTGCTATATGGATCTTTTGAAATAAATCAGCAAGTCATGATTTATGGGAATTACTGTGGCCGCCTGGTTGTTAACACACAGACTTCATCACAAAAGCAGAGCCTTACTTCCCCAAGTCTCTGCTGGCTGAAAGCCGGCCCTGCCCAGGGCCGCGAGCAACGTCAGGCCGTCTGGGACTGCAGGGTTCGGGCAGCAGCCGGCACTGTGTGGCCTGGACATTTTAATCCCCGGCCACGGTGTCTGAGCCCTGCTCTGCCTGCTGCGCCCCGGGGCTCCGAAGCCTGCAGGCTGGTGTGCTCCAGGCCCCGCGTGGACACAGCAGAACCCAGCTCGGACAGGCAAGCCCGTCGCAGCGCGGGCACTGGGGACGGTGGGACGCATGAGGGACGGCCAAGGCCCGGAGGGCTGCCCTCTCTGCGGAAAAGAGCGAGCATCCGAACTGAGACTCAGTAAGTGGCCACAAACCCAGAGCAGTGTCTTCTGTCTCCTAGGGTGTACTGTGCTTACTTTTATGGGCTACCAGGCTTGGAATGTCTTCACTGAGCCTACAGCCACGTCGCACTGCCGATGGAAGCGTCTGGGCCACAGAGTTTAGGAGTGTTACAGTAATTATGTAACTGTAAATATTCTGAAATACAGACACAAGGCATCTTCAAATAGTACATGGAAAACACGTATTATGAGAAAACTGCACGGATTTCAAAAAATTTCTGCCACAAAAGAAACTAGGACTTTGATTCCATGTTTCCATGAACTACCTCAAGTCCACATACATAAACACACGTACATGCGTGTCAGTCACAAAGACGACAGTGGCCCCTTGTGATGCGGACATAACAAAGCGCACTTCCTGTGATCCCCGTCATGGGTGGTAGCATGGAGGGATCCGCCTGCTCTGCAAGGGCAGGGCCCCGTGCGACACGCGGCACGCACTCCCCCGGCACTCGGATCTCATGCGCCTCACACCATGGTCCCCACGTTCTGATGTTACATACCGCACTCTCGTTCTCACGTGTGACACACAACAGTCCTCACGCAATCAGAATGCCGAACGTTTCTGTCAACCCCACTCCCCTTGTACCCCTGTGCCCCTCACCTCTGGTCCTTTCCTGGAATTTTCGATCAGCGAGTCATACACTACACACACTGGTGTGGCCGGCCTGTGTCTGGCTGTTTTGCAGCCAACTCTCCTCTCCACCCTGTGGGCCCTGCACCTTCTTTCCCTCCCAGAGCTAAGCCATGCCAGGCTGCCCCGTGCACCTGGAACTGGCTGGGAGATGTGGAGGACGCAGATGCCATCCAAGGACGGCAGAAGAAGCTCCTCTCGGGCACTTGGGCCTTCAGTTTGTACCTCGCCCTTGAATCCCGGAGAGATTCCTGGAAGAGCTACACAGAAAATCAAAGGATGCAAGGGGGAGATACTAACTGAGAAATAGCGCTCACCCAGCAACTGTTTCACATTCCCTTAGAAAGTCCACAGGCAGGGACCGCCAGGTAGTGTGGTGGTGGGGGCTCTGGACTCCCACATGGTAAATGGCAGTTCAAGACCTGGATCTGGCGGCTTGCTCTCTCGCTTTCCCTTTCTCTGTGTGTGTTTCTCTATCTGGTCAAATTAAAAATGGTAACAAATAGAATTTAATTAATTAATTTTAAAAATCAAAGTCCTCCAGTAGCAAGTATGTCTTGATGGCAAGAATCTATTGACTCTAACAGACGGTATGAGAACGAGCAGCAGGTCGGTGAGGCAGCCAGAACGGCAGAGCTCCACTTGGCCAAGAAAGACGCGAAGCAGACAGGAGACCCTGGGCAGCAGAGCCAGGACGGGAGAGGGCCGACAGAGGAGAGCTGGCCAGGGACGGCCAGGCTGAAGGCGGGCTGGGGTGGCGTCCTGGCCAAGAGCAGAGCCGGCCCGGACCTTCCTTCCCCTCCAGCATGAGGAACGGCAGGGAACAGGGTTTTACTACTCACAGTAAGAAATGCTCACGGCACCTCTCACCAGTTACCTCGGCCGCCACCCACTGACAGACATGACAGTGGCTAAAACAGTAGGCGAGCATGGTGGGCAGCCTCCAAGCACAACACAGAACGCGCGAGTACTGTG